CAGCACCGCCCCCGCCCCCTCCTCCCGAGAAGCCCAGAGGGGTGTCGGCAGCCTGTTGCCCTCCTCTTCCTGTCGCCCTGGCTGGCGACCACCCTAGGCGGGCCCTGTGGCCTCCAAGTGGGTGCCCGCGCGGGTTGCCCAGGGAGACCTTATCAGCCCGGATCCGCATCCTGCGTCCCCTGCGAGCCCGAGGAAGCAGGACGGACTGGTTTGGCTTCTACTCCACATAGTTCCCCTTGGCCTGCACAACAGGTTTATGAATGCATCACACCGTGTATCTGAGGGGCGGGCTGGGGACCGGTGCCCCTTTCCCCGATTCCTTGCTGCATTGGGGGCTTGTCTTCGTGTTCACGGGTAACTGACAAAGTCCCATGCGGATCTGGGGGACAGGAAAGCCAGGAAGCTCGTGGCTAGACCTTAAGTCCCAGGTAGAACTGACCCGTATGACTGTGTCATGTGCGCCCAGGAACTTGTGAACAGCAGATGACAATAATACAATTACCGGACAGCAGTAATTGTCACTGGTGACACCATTCAGTTAAAAGGTGGAGGCACCAGAAGGTACTTCCTGTCAGGGGAAGAACAGTCAGTCCAGTGCCACTGTCATTGCTGCCTTTTTGACTGGGCTGCCCCCCTTCCTGGAGAGCAGGACCTCGTCCGAGGTGAGTGTGGTGGGAATGCAGCTTTGGACCAGGAGGAGCTGGGGACCTGTGGCCCCTGCAGGGACCTTCTGTGCCCCCTGGGCGGAACCTCGCTGTGCATTTAATGCTTGCTTGAATTTAAGCACACACCATTGTTCTCTTCCTCGGTGGAATTTATGCGGTACAAGTGTCTTCTTGCTCTGGTCTAGCAGATCTAACTAGTGTTCTAGAAGGAAATGTCCTGCCCCAGTGCAGCTTCCTTAGAATACAGGATGCTGCTCAGAACTGCCCCTGTGGAGAGCTTTGTCTGTTGTTTGGATTTGGCTGGCAATTTGGGGATGTTGTTTGAACTATGCCAAGGAGAGCAGAGGGGGCTATGGAGCCAGAATATCAACACTCCAGCCTGTAATATAACTGGGGACCGGGTTGTCCAAAACTCAGAAGACCCTCATCCACCCAACTGCCTCGCTGGTGGTTTTATTATAAAACAAAATCTGCTCCAAGATTGTTCTCTTTTTCTTACATTTTTTTTTCTGCTGAATTATAAGAGCATTAGGGAGGAGCACAACGATAGAGGGTGACAGGAAAATTCTAACTTGCAAATCCTTACTCACCGTGCAGCTTTGACACAGTCTGATCAGTCCAGGAGCTGTGAGTGGTTTGTACTCATTAGCAAAAATGTTAAGTAGAATAAAATTGTGGAAGATTAATAGTCTACCCAAGTTTCTTGGTCCATGAGGCATGACCCCTCCCATGGCAGCATTGTCATATGTGAAGGTTTCTGTTTTACTCGTTTGATTCATTAGAATGGATGGGTCCCCAAATGGTCTTTTTTGTTTTATTCCCAGGCTCACTTTACCCTGTTTGGACTTAAATGTTTGGAAAGCACACAGGTTTACTTGAATGAACAGAGACTGCTTAATAGAAAAATTTTTTTAACTCTTTGAGTTCTTAAATGAATTAAGAAATACATGTAATTCTATGAACTGTTCATTTTTATATTTAGACCCCAAAGACAGAAAAACATTTTCATTTTTATTGAATTAATTTTGAAGAAGTATATAAATCCTAAATCCATTGTGTCACTGGTCATTAGTTTGAAAGGACAGTTGATGAAGTTTTGAGTCATTAAACTTAAAAACCATCTATCAGCTTGTCCATTTGGAAGATTTAAAATTTCAAGAGACAAAATATAGATTCTTCTAGATTTAGAAAAGAGTTTGAGATTTTTTTTTTTTTTTAGACTACATACTAATTTTGAGGGAGGGAGAAGGGAGCATATCCAATTCTCAAACTCCCTTTACTCTTTCTTTTTTTTTTTTAATGTTCAGCGAATGAACTTGAGGTTTTGGTTTGGTGGTAGGATCATTATTATTTTGGTAGAAAAAAGAAACTACACTAAAGATTTTTATTTTTATTATTTTATTGAGAATTGGAACTACAGAACATCAGTAAATTGGTAGTATCCAGACTTTCCTCATAACAATTCGGAGGATAAAGAAAAACTATCCACAAATGTCATGTGGTAGACATGTGGGAGGAGTTAAAGGAATATGGCCACATCAACTATTTTTTCCTCACCTACATCCAGAAGCTGCACAAAGATTTATACTCATGTCGTTACATTGCTTCTAGGCAATCACATGATGTAGAAGAAGAAAACTTGAGCTCTGAGGAGGGAACCTTGCCCTAGTTCTCCTCGGGTGATAGGCTGGGAGGCCTGGGAGTCAGGCTCAGTTGTGTCATCACTGCCTTTATCAATTCAAACCTCTCAACTCTCCAAACTAAGGTGGAAATCCTGAGAAACGTGTTCTATTCTAAGTCTGTCAATATTTGCTGAATGACTTGAAAAGGTCATCCAAAGAGGATAGAACTATCCAAAAAGATTCTTTGCACCTCATGGTGTGTGCCGAGGTTAACACTGATGTTCAGGGCTTTAGTTTTGGTTCTGTCAGTGAAACTAAAGTGCCATTATTAAGCAAACTAGTTACAATTAAATTCTTAAATAAGAAATTTAGAAACAACCAAGAAATTCCATTACTGAAGCAGAATGCAATAAATTAAAATTCTTGGAATTGTAAAAAGGAAGAATAGTCTGTCTTCATAATACTGTGTGTATCATCAGAAATAAAATCAATGATTTACTTTTTTCAGAGGTAAATATTTGGGACTGGAGCTTTAGTACTGAGAATGCACTGTGGATGGTTAGATATGCCACAAACCTGAATACAATCCACCTTTGTGTGTCTGAGTGGGACCACATTCTCATACATTAAAGACCATAGAAGCTAAGCATATCCATTCTTTCCTTAAAAGAGAGCCATAAAGGGGCCAGTTAAACCTCTCCGGATTACAGAGAGAGGGTTAATATTTTACTTTTTACTGAAAAAGCTGCTCCCAGTGGCTTCCGCCAGCCTGCCTGAAGCCTGAAAGGAAAGAGGTATTTTGTTCATTGGTACCAATGGGAAAGGGTTCCTATGAGTATAGATAGTTTGGAAAGCAGTTCTCAAAAAGTACTGGTCCTTCAAATGTCCTCTAACCACACTGTTTATGACAGCTCAACCCAGGCTACGTGTTTACAGGGGAGAGGCTGAGAGCCAGTAGTTCCTCTCCTCCCCCAGTCAGGGTGCGCCTCACCCACCGAGGAGTCAGATCAGCAGGGGCAAGGGCAACCAGGGCCTCCTTTCAAATCTGCTGAATCTTCTGTCCTCTCTCAGTCCCCCGGGGAGTGGGCAGAGTGTCATGGGAGTAGCCAGGCCTTACCCGTGACTGCAGCATTGTGTCAGGAAGTTTGGGGCAGGCCATACCCCTGGTCTTCCTCCTAATACTTGTGAGAGGAGCTCTCCTCCTGCTCTTAGCGTTCACTGGGAGTATGGTGTGCGGGACAGATGCCCTGGCTTCTTGGGAAGCCCCTCAGCAACAACAGGGGCTAAACAAAAGAATGGAAAGGGAAGCTTTCTCTGTAGGAAACGCTGGTGCATGTTCACTGGGTGCTCTTCCTGGGGAACAAGGAGGGCAGCAGAGTGATGGAGCCTGTAGAGAACAGCTCTTCCTTTCCAGTCATTTCCATCATGTGATAGGTAATAGTAGGACCTTGGTTGATCCTGTAGGAAGGTACTACCAATTAGGTGATTTGTTTTAGCCCAGTTAATTGTCTTGAGTGACCAGGAGGTTAGACACACATACGTGGGTTTAGTCACTCACTTTTTTAGTGCTCTAGGCATCTCATTTTTTTCCTTCCTTTAAAGGTGCAGGTAAATTGCTGATTCAAACTCAAAAAGAGTTGTAAAATAGATTATTTTCTGTTCAGCTTTGCTACTTTGAGAGTGTGATTTGGGGACCAGAGAAGTAAAAAAGAAATAAAGCTATTGCTGTCACTATTGCTCCTGTTTTTTAAGGAGAAGCCCCAAGGAGTGGAAATCAAGGATCCTGCTTCGAGAAAGTAGGACCATATTCTTGTGAGGAAATTGTGACCTCCTGACCTCAGCCCCTGGCCTTAGCCTTCCCAAATTCATTAGACAGCTTGATTGGTTTGCTTCCTAGTAGGGCAGGTAATAGGTGACACCAGGTGTGCCATTCATTGTTCAGGCAGGTGATAGAGAATTCAGACACAAATAGCCTTTTCTCTTTTATAACTGCAGGGGATTTCAATTCTGTGCACTTTGGACGTCTTGAGAAAATGTGAACTTTTCTTTGGTAAATCAAAGATTTGCTGATTGGGTACTTAACTAACCAAACCTCAGGGGGAAGTGTTTCCTAGTTAGAGAAGATCTCATTTTATAAACAAACAGGACTGACCTCCTAGACCTAGGGGAACATCTGTTGTAAAATATGTTGAAACATCAAGATATATGTTTCTACACTTCCCACCACCCATCACATCCTGAAAGGCTTCCAGAATAGAATAGCAAGAACTAGGAAAATGTATTATAATAACTTTCATGGGAGACTAAAAGTTAATTGTACAATTCGTATTGTCTAAAATTAGTCTTTTAAATCAAAGTTTAATTTAATGTGGGCATTGACTATCTCTTAGGCCATGAAATAAGTGGTATGTAAAAGCAGGATTTAATTGTAGAACCTGAGATCACCCCTCCCAGTGAGCCCACTGCATTACCCCGGCCATGCTTACACAGCCTCTGATTAAATGTTTTAAGGGAAAAAAGCCACAGCTTCAAAGAGTTTGTGCCTAAAGAGTTGTACCTATTTCATTTTTCTCAGCTTTTTCTTTTAAAAAAAAATTCTATCTCTTAACTATTGTTAATAATGCTGCAATGAACATAGGAGGGCATATATCTTTTCAAATTGGATTTCTTCAGATAAATACTTTGAAGTGGAATTGCTGGGTCATAAGGTAGTTCTATTTTTATTTTTTTGGTTAATCCTCACTTGGGGATATTTTTTTCCATTGATTTTTAGAGAAAGTGGAAGGTGGGGAGAGAGAAAGAGAGATTGATGTGAGAGAGACACATTGATCAGTTGCCTCCTGCATATGTCCTGACCCAGGCCAGAATCGGGCCTGCAACCCAGGTACATGCCCTTGACTGGGAATCGAACCTGCACCCTTTGGTCTGTGGGCTGATGCTCTAACCACTGAGAAAACTGACCAAGGTAAGGTATTTCTATTTTTATTTTACAAGAGCCAAGGTATAGAAAGAACCTAAGTGTCTACTGACAGATGAAAGAATAAAGAAGATTATATATATATATATATATATATTTCATTTTTTCTCAGTCATAAAACAATGAAATCTTACCATTTGCAACAACATGGATGTACCTAGAGGATATTTATGCTAAGTAAAGTCAGACAGAGAAAGACAAATATCATATGATTTCATTTATATATGGAATCTAAAGAACAAAATAAATGAACAAACAAGATGGAAATAGATTCATAGATAAAGAGATCAGACTGATGGTTGCCAGAGTAGGGAGCAGTTGAGGGGGCAAGTGAAATAGGTGAAGGGGAACAAGAGGTAACCAACTTCCAGTTATAAAATAAATGTCATAAGGTTGTAAAGTACAGCATAAGGAATATAGTCAATAATATTGTAATAACTATGTAAGATGCCAGATGGGTACTAGACTAAAAAGTGAGAGGATCACTTTTTAAATTATATAAATGTCTAACCACTATGCTGTCCACCTGAAACTAATATGAAATAATATTGAATGTCAACTGTAATTGAAAAAGAAAAAAAAATCCTGGCTTTCTGTTCATTCTATCTTGGATTCAATTCTTAGTCCTAGATCCTCCTGTTGCCTTGTGACTGAGAGCTATCTTCCAGATAAACTGCTCTAGCTCCCCTCAGTGTACCCTCCTGAGAGAGTTTTTCCAGGCTCTGCCACCTGGCCACACTCCAGCAGGTCATCAGCCTGCCAGTGTCTTTCTTTTCTTTTTGTTTTTTGTCTACAAGACACTTTTTTTCAGTCAACAAGCAGCTTCTGGAACATACTATGAATCTTGTCAAAAAGCGCTATGTTGGAAGAATCCGCCACCATAACAAACTTCACCTTAGAGTTGGTCACATAGCCATATACCTTGTAGTCCTCTGTGGGGTACAACAGGCGCAGGTAGAGCTCCCTTTGGTCCACCAGGGCCTTCCCCATTGCAGATCTTCTCATCCACCACGTCCAGGGACGTGTGTACCATGTAGTGGAACTTCAGCTCGTTCTCTGTAGGGACACTCCTTGGCTATCACCACCATGCACACTGCCATCTTGGGAGGCCCCCTGCCAGTGTCTTTCTTGATGTGATATGAACAAACACAACACTTCAGGTGTGGGCTCCCAGAGAGCAGGCATGCTAATCTCCTCCTCTAGTCTAACCTTGAGCTTGAGTTTTTTCTAGGAAGCCTTATTGTATGGCATGAATATCCTGCTTATAAGGATATTCCTCCTGAGGGATAAAATATTCCTTAAATAAAAGTTAGGGTGTAGTTATTAAATGAACTATGGAAAGACAGTTAACTTGCTGATGGCATGAGAGGTGTCTGAAAAACATCATTTTGACACTTAGATATGTTTGTGCCATTGCCATCATCATGGTGACTGTTAGCCAACTCATGGCAGGTTGGGGAGTCAGCCTGGGAAGAATACTGACTGCAGTTCAAGAAAGTCTAAGATGGGTTGACAGAAGAACTTTGGTGACTCCCTCCTCCCCTAAAAGAGTGTGAAAAAAATTGTATAGGCGGGTTTTTCTGAGGAGAGGGCCTTTCACTTTCAGAAGACTCTCAAAGTTTTCATTACTCATCACTTTATTTTCAAGGAGATTGCTGACCAACTTTTTAGTCTTGTGTGGTAACGTGGAAGACATCTGTTTGAGTTGTATCAAAAGTTTCTGCAAGAAGTCCTTTTCTCCCAGGACATTAAATCTGGGAGCTAAGAGGGAGTGAGGCTCGTTGTTGCAGTGGCACGAGTCCTTCACCACAACTGTTGGTGTGATGGTACCTGCTGGGAAGGGAAGGCCATCATCAGCCTGGTTACAAGGAAGAACAAGTGAGCACCTTTTATGAAAGTTATGATTCTCTTTTAGAAGAAGGTCTTTCTGGAAAAACCAAGATGGCGGCATAGGTAAACAACTGAAATTGCTGCCTCTCACAACCACTTCAAAAATACAACTAAAAGACAAAACAGACATCATCCAGAACCACAGTAAGGCTGGCTGAGTGGAAATTCTACAACTAGAACGAAAGAGAAAAGCACACTGGGACTCAGAGGAGGTGCGGAAGTAAAGTGCAGAGGTACAGAGGCGCAAGGAAAGGGCTGGCAACTGAGGACGTGACTGTCTTTTTCAATTGGGAAGGAGACATAAGTTCCCGATGGCTCTGAACTCCAGTTCCGGGCAAGTCTCTGGGAACCCAGACTCATACCAGGAGAAACTGGACTGTCTGGCATTAGGCAGAACTCGAGGTTGGCTTTCTCTCAGAGGTGCTTGTAGTGATTACCGCAGGACCGTGAGACCTGGAGCCTCTTAGGGCAGGGCTGAGGAGCTGAGGATCCCATAGCTGTTTGCTCCGCCCTGTTTATTCCCTGAGACCCCGCCCTACCCAAGCTGTGCCCAGAGGCTTTTGCATATGAAAGGCCTGGCCCTTTGCAATCTAAAATTACCTAACAAACTGTGGCTGGGTCAGAGAGACCCAGAACATCCAAAAGAAGGCTCAAGGCCCCACAGCAGCTTGCATTGCTTCACAGCTGAGCCTCATCTGGGCACCTCCAAACCCCAAACAAGGAAGAGAAATCTGCAGATCTCTCTTTAGCTCTTCGTAGCTCCTGCTGGGTAGCCTCAGGCAAAGGCTAAATTAGAACCTCCTTAGATATCCAAGAGCCCGTGTACCCAGTGGTCAGATTCAACTGCTCAGATTCATAAGGGACATACTCAGGGAGCAGACTCAGTGAGCACCAAAGCCCTACTGAAGCAAGTCTTGCCCCAGAAGGGTGTCTTCAGCACAGAAGTTCTCCCACTGCAGACACAGCTGATTCTCACTGCCAATTGGCCTGGAGGTCAAT